GGCGCCTCCGTGACGACGAGGGGAGCCACAGTCGAGGTGTAGCCGAACAGCTTTGCGATCTCCCAGCCCGCATTCTCTGCCGAGGTTGTGGCAGATGCGGACGTGGCGCCTGCGTCGAGAAGCATCTCCACCATGCGGGCGTCCTTCTGCCACACCGCGCGTGTGAGCATGTCCACCCCGTCTCCATCATGCGGAGAGAGGTTCTTGGCCGTCTTGAGCATCTCCTCAACGACATCGTACATGTAGTAGTGGACTGCGTGGTAAAGCGGAGTGCGGCCACGATTGTCCGCGACGTCCGGGTCTGCTCCGTGCTCCAGAAGCCAGAGAGCCATGGTTGAATCAACACTGACGCAGGCTTGGGCCAGAGGCGACCAGTGGGGTCCACTCATGGAGATATCATCGATTTGGGCACCGCTGGCAAGCAGCGTCTCGGCGGTGGCTGTGTCCTGACGGCGGATGGCCGTGACGAAGTCGCGGTTGAGCTTCGCCTGTTCCTCCGCTGTGAGACCCCCAGGGGCCGGAGCCGCTGGAGTCTCTGCCGGTGCCTCTGGGGCCTCGGCTGGTGCCTCTGCCGGAGCTTCTGGCGCTGGGTCCGTGTCCTGCAGTCGCCGGGCTCCTCGCAACTGCGCGTCCCCCTGGAAGAGGACCAGGGCCAAGCTGGCAAGGAAGAGCTTGAACATGGCGCGGCAAGGTGGAAACCTGCGATGCTTCGCCTGCCTCGTGCTTGAGCCGCTGCTACACAGGTAGAGAGGGTAGCAAACCCGGCATGCATAGATGGGCACTTACCTCTCAATGGCTGAATCCAGCTCAGCAGTAGCGGCGCACACAACTCGAATCGGATGAGACCAGGGTCTCCACTTGCTCCACGCTCGAGGAAGCGGCGCCGGGACGTCGCCACTGCCTAGAGCTGCAGGTCTCGCGCGAGGCGAAACGTTGCATGCACTCTGTGCTTATCTTATGAAGATCTTGCTATAAGCACTGTTCCATCACGTCAAACCTCTGATGTAGAACAACCCTTACATGACAAGTTCGATGGGAGAAACCTTTCTTTCTTTGTTCTTGTGCTTGTTCTTTCTTCTGCTCTGTGCATGTAGTTAAGATTTGGGGATTGGGAGGTGCAGGCACGGGCTAAGAGGTTCGGGTTTAGCACTGAAGGTAGTAGGCTGCAAGGCTGGCATTTAGGGGTCTCCGGTCTGGGGTGCATGGATAGGTGGATTCGTGTGTGTAGGTGTACCAATCCCAAGCCCTCTGCAAGCAAAATCCTGAATGGGAGCTAGGATTAGCGGGACCCT